TAATTTTACCTATCCTGTAATTTGTAAAGTTGTTTGTTATTTCATTGAGCATGTTACATTTGTTCAGTGAACGTAAGTAACGATTAATCGCTTTCTTTCCTCTGACATTTAACCAATTTGTTAGTTCGTTTTTGCATGCAATATTTCTTTAATTCTGTGCTCTTGTTACGAGGTAACCGCGCTGATAGGACCCAGGCGGTGACCGAGTGGGTTGCTCAGGCCACCAGGGTAATTTATATGATTTGGAAAAGACGCGCAGGCGACCCGGATCTAATAGTTCGTGTTATTTCTAGTAGCTGCGGGACGTGGACGACCAGGCTGGTTCTGTCCCCTTTGCCTCTTAGGAAATAGGAACAAGGTTATCAGCGTTGATACGTCTCGAGCGGCTGAGACGTATCGGTTCGTAGGATACTCCTGATATCAAGCTAATTGGAAGTAACAGAAATGAGACTTTAAACGAACTCTTCGGTATGAAATTTAGTCTATATTCTCTAATAAATACAAGTACTGGACAACTCTTAACAGTAAGAGAACTCCTTCTTCAATTTACGCAGTGGAGTCGCGGGGAAAAGCTAAAGTTATTACTAACTCACTGACAGAACTCACGTCGCGGAGAAACAGAGCCTTCGGCTGCACGAGAATTCTGAACTAGACTAATCCAAAGGGCTATGGTTTTAACCCCTTTTTATACCAAAATGAGCTCGTCGCCTGGAGTGGGAGACGACCATATAAGGGCATTTTCTAGAAGTTTCTATGCTCGCTTCGAACATGGTCCTCCCGTGGAATTAAGGGATGCGTCACCCTGAAGTGGTGCGTGACCATATAATGGCATTTCATAGAAACTTCGGCTCACCTCGGCTCTGATTCATCCGCGCAAAAGATGCGTACGTGACCAGATCCGAATGTTCTGGAAGCGTCGAGGAGGCGTACGTAACACTCGTCACGAGTGCGGCATACGGGCGAAGCAACGCACGAGGCGGTTATCGCGCTCCTGCCCGCCTTGTATACTCGTGCTCTGATTGGTCGAGGGTTTTTGTTAATAACTCGACTACCAAGCCTCGGACAACTTTCTTGAAAAGAAAAAAGTTGTTTAAAATCATCATGGCTCCTCCCCATTTTAAGGACTAATACTAGTTCTGGGACACCTTGTATTTCAATGGACAGCACTATACACCTGAATTAAAAAATTGTTAATTATCATTCCAGAGGCGTTTAAGAAGATGACAAAATGGGGTAGGGAATTTGAAGGGATGTACTTAGTCTGGGTAGGCATGAGGCCCTTCATATTCCTCTACAAATCCGAGGCGATCCAACCACTACTAAGCAGCAGCGTGCATATTGACAAAAGTTTGGAGTACCAGTATCTGCGACCGTGGCTTGGCAATGGTTTGTTAACCAGCACAGGTACGTCATGTGTATATATATATATATATATATATATATATATTTGTGAAGCTCAGTGCACAAAATAACGCGAACATTTTTGAAGAAATTATTTAAAGTTAGAGAAACGTAAAAGTGATATTATTAATCATTTATTATGTAATGATAGAAATATGTATATACTTTTATTAAAAGAAAATAAATTATCTTAGCCATTTTTTTTTCCCACAAATTTTGTCCATTTTATAGGAGCCATTATTTTTGCCCATTTTAGTGGCGCCATTATACGGGGTGTCCCAGAAAAAGCGTTAGAATCGACGAGAGGTGATTTTGTAAGTGTTTCTGAACAACAATTTCCTTTGGTAAAATACAAAGTGAGTCATGATTTTCAAATTATTAATGAAAAACACTTACCAATTAGAGCACGTGTAGGAACCGCGTTAAGTCACGGCCGAGCGTCACGATTCGAGTCAACCTACCCGTGGCTAGGCGCGGGCCCTACGCGTGTTCTCATTGGTCAGTGTTTTTCGTTAATAATTCGAAAACCATGGCTCACTTTGCATTTTACCAAAGGAAATTGTTGTTCAGAAACACCTCAAGAATCACCCTTTTCGGCTCTAATACTTTTTCTGGAACACCCTGCATTTGCCTGTTTTAGTAGGCCCAAAATATTGTCCATTTTAATGGGATCATATTTTCGTACATTTTAGTGGAATCATATTTTTAGCCATTTTAAGGCCATATTTTTGGTTCTATTTCTGTCCATTTTAGTAGGATCATATTTTTGGCCCTTTTTCGGTAATTTCTTTGGCCGCCTATTGGGATCTTTTTTGTCATTGTCGTAGCATTCGAAAAAGTTTTTTATATATTAATGAAAATTTGA